GGCAACTCCAGCAGCCATGAAACGTGGTGGATCTCAAAAGACACTCTCGCGCCGAGGCCTAGACCCTTTGCCCTCAATTGACCCGTCCCACATCCAAACCAAAGAGCACAAACATGCGCTTGCTTCCGCCATTCAACAGGGTAACGAAGCGAGGCTCGAGATGATCACAAAAGCCAACGATTTGCATCAACAACTTGAAACGACTCGAATGAAAGCTGACCAGGATGCTCGTGCTTCAGACCTCAGCTGGGCAAAAGAGCGGTATTTTCTTGATCGTCAAGAACAGTGTGACGCCGAGGCAAGAAGATTGGCACAGGAGTTACAAAAGGACAGAAAAGCCTTTTGTGAGCAATTGGTAATGGAAGGGAAGTCACCTCAAGAACTTGAGGCGTATCTTCATCTCGTATACCCGACGCAAGAATGGGTGTAAGTTGTCTTTTGCATGTTCTTCGCTTGTCAAAGTTAGCTAATGTTTTGAACGATCACTTTGTTACACCAATGTTTTAGGTAATCCGCTTATCAGAAGTGCTTTTTGTGCTGTCTTTGATCCTTTATCAGTTTATATGTTACCTACCCATGGCCTTTTTTATTTCATACATGTTCTGTCTTTTTTTTCTTCTGCCTGGTTTTTCACCTATTTTCCTTTGATGTGCCTCTCCGAACTTGTTTTCTACAAGTTCTTCTACTACTAGTTTGTGATTTTTGTGGTCTTCTGTACTGAGTCCTGCTCGGGTATGCAATTCTATATAGTTTATTGCAATCAAAATCCTCCCTTAAGCCAAAAGTCAAGGTCAAAGACCATCCTCTCTTAAGCCAATTGTGCCGTACACCATCAAAATGTCTGAACATGTCTTTTTTGCATCTTTCAAAAAGACATGTTCAGACATTTCGAAAAGACAAGTTCTTCATACTCAGGTTCAGACATTTTGAAAAGACAAGTTCAGACTGAACAAAATTTTCATTGCACAATTGGCAGACATACCGTGACCAAGCAAACCAAAGGCACAAAAAGGAAAGACACACAAAGACGATCAAGAAGAAATGACAGGTACCACAACAAACTAAGAAACACAAAGACGATCAAGAAGAGAAATAACAAGTACCGAAACAAACTAGTAAGCCGAAAACAAAGACACACAGAGGCGATCAATCACCACAACCCCTCACAATCTTGCACAATCAGTCAAGAAATGATGGGTAAACCTCCACTCATCCAATTGTATGCTACGGCGTGATCTCGAACCAATTCCCGCTTAGCCCGGCCCTTCTCCACTCCTGCAGCATCCACAGCAACACCAGCGCGTATTCTTCCGGCTTTGCCTCGTTCAGGTAGAACCATATCATCATCGTCCTCATTCCATGCATTTCCCAGATCCGCCAACATGTTGTGTAAGATGACACATGCGCGGACCCACCTAAGGATTTGAAACATGTCACTACGATCGTTCAAAGAGCACCTGAGTCCTTGAAGAGATGCCCATCTTGACTTCAAAATTCCGATACAGTGTTCATTTCGAACCCTGGCCTTTGCGACACACCAGTTGAACTCTTTGTTCCTCTGAACCTCGGCAGCCTGCCCTTTATAGGATGGAACCACGGTTTCTGACAGAACATACGCGGAGTCGGCAATAATGAATTCGTCTGGTGAAGGCAATTAATGGTCAGCAAAAGTGATAGTCAAGAAATCAAATGATTTTCAGACGTACCTTTACCAAAGAATAGATCTGGACGATTTGCAATCTCTGTCTTAGAATAGACAGTAGGGGTTGGGCGAAAAACCGACCAACAGGTTTTGCGCCATTGAGAAATTACGCGAAAACAGTTGAAGATGGCGGAAAACCACTGGACGCAGGTTTCACAGAACCTGCATCCCCGAATTGAGCTCTCGGGTGGGTCCGATCCTTCTCGTCCAGCTCCTGACGAGCACTCATCAAACTCCCGCCTGATTTGGCTACCAGTGACTTCGTACTGGCTCACAACATGTGTGGTGACTCAGTTTTGGCTCAGGCGTCAGGAAGAAGACGAAGCATTGCGGCGTCAAATATCACATGTTGGTCATGAAAAAATCGACGTGCAGCTTTGGGCGCCGGGCGTGTGTTATTTGACGACTCGTTTCTGGCCAACCGAGATTACCCAGTTGCACCAGCTCTTTCAACTCCCAGAAACCATCACTTTGTATAACGGATGTGTTGAGTCTGGCTTGACTGCACTGGCTATGCTGTTGGCGCGCCTAGCCATGCCCTTTCGCACCTTTCACAGCTCTGTAAAAGGTGCAAAAAGGGTGTTTGCGAGGCTTGAGGCGCGGCACATTACTTTACCTGTAAGAGCTTTTGAACGGTTAAAGCATGGGTGTGATCACGCAACCAAGCATACCGGTCAACAATTTTGCAAAGCAAAAAGTTAGATAAAAATTGTTGTTGCTTTTGTGTGGCTTTGATATCGATTTCGAGCCATCTCGCAAACGTTCCCAAAAATTTGAACGGCGATTGAACAGGGTTTGGAAACCTGTTGGTCAATTTTTCGCCCAACCCCTAGTGCTGTCACAGCACGAGCCCGGCCACCCCGCGTACGCATAAGTGATTCTCCGGTCGCAATCACACACAATCTGGACATTGATCGAATACCAATGTTTACGGTCGAAGAACACCTCGCCGTCTCGACCAGGGCGTTGAAAGAGGGGGATCGTCGTTCCGTCCACAAAACCGACACACCCGGCGAACCCGTCACGTGAAAGAACATTGGAGATAGCCTTTCGCCTGTTGGCGTTTGGCCAAGTAAGATAGTGAGAGCCACAATCCAGGATCGCTGTGATCACACGGCGAGTGCAATTGATAACCGAACCTCTGCCAACCTTGTAATTTCTTGCGAATCTACCCACCGAAGCGCCATTCCCGTTGCTTCCCAGACATTCCAGGGTCATTGCAAGTTGTTTTTCAACTGGGGGCTGTTGATGGTTTCCCGAAGAGAGGAACACGTGGTGTGATTCAATGATGGACAGGAGTGCACGGAATCCTTCGGACGTTGTTCGCATGGCCTGGCGAAAGTCGGTTCGTCGAGCTCGGAGCATGTCACGTAGGTCGAAAGTGGTATGGAAAGGTATGCGGATTCTATCTTGAAGATAACGTCTTCCAATTACATAAGCCAGCAACTCACCCCACTGATTTTCGGGATCAAAAATGGTGTTGTACATGACGGCGAGGGCGTGATTATGTCGGAAGATGATTTCGCCGTCCGTGGGGATGTGGCCAAGGCGATTAGGGGCAGCCAAAGGCTCTTCTGAGAACAAGTGGGCTACTACACATAGATGGGTCAAGTCACGGATGACCAAGACTCGTTCGGAGACACGAGGCATGCAGGAAGAGAAGGCGAGTCGTGAGGAAATAAGCAAATCAAGAAGATGAAAAGAGGTATGGATGACTGTATGGATGTTAGGTTCTTCCACCTCGGCCTCCTAATAAAGCGATCAACGAGATCAAAGAGATCGGTGAAAAAAAACGAAAAAAAAATCACAAGAAGAAAAAAACGGAAAATGTTTCAGATAAAAAAAAAGGGCCATGGCGGTTTTCGGAACGTTGAACCTGATTTTACCAAGACGTAAAACTTAAATTAGAGGTGTTCGCCACTTTGCGAACCCAAATTTTAAGGACTGGGCGTCCTTAAAATCCTTGATTGCCAACTTGCGTGCAGGGTGTTCGCGTTTTTCATCTTGAACCGCCCTATTATCACAGTCAGCGCCAACCGGCTTTTAAAGCTAAGGGTGCGAAACGTTAATTACCAACTTTAAGTGAAGAACCATCCAACCCTCCAATGAATGAAGGTCCATTTGACTCCCGTACTCCCTCATATGTTGGCGAATACATCTGAACTGGCTTCATTTCAACAAAACCTACGTGCCGTGCATGTTCATTCCAAAACCTTTTGATTTCATTATTATAACTTGTTTGTTTGAAATTGCTGGCTCGCTCGTTTGATACCAATGATGATATCTCAAAGTACCTGATCAGTAAGTTTGTATTCATTTTTTTGATTCAGCATTTAACTCAATTTACCAAAGTTTGATCAAATGAGTGCTGTTCAAGTTGTTCCCAAATATGTTATTTTCGTTTCTAGAAATATTCATTTCATGAGCAAGGTTCATCAATCTGCGGTTGTTCCTAAGTATATGTTCTTTTTGTTTCTATTATCCAATCTTTTATATAAACATGATAGTCTTGTTGATGGATGTCTTGGATGAATTGAAGAATGATTATTGGTTTGTTTCCAAATCCTATTAATCATAGGGAGGGAAAAACTTTTCACAAGTGAGAAGGTTTCTACATGCAGCACCAGGATGAGCTCATGAAAATCATGATTATGGAACTGCGGGTGGTCTGATTGTTTTTGACTGTTTTAGAGCGTAGCCCGTGCCCATACCACCTGGAGGCTGGCGAAGCGCATTACAAACGATGGTGAGCAACGTTACTCTTCCGCTGAAGGCTTGTTTTCAGTTGGCATTTAGTATCAATCCCTTCTCCGAGAACAGCGATCTGCTTCACAGGAATTCTTTGCCTTTTGATAGAGGCTAAATAAAGAAGTATGGCACAAACTCTATTGCTACGCAGCGCCAATGTCGCATGATCGCAGCCGATATACTTCACTGTTAAATAATTCGGATTTTCTAATTTCAAGATCTTGTTGGAAATGTCACAGACGATATGTACTGGCACATGCGAGTATAGGATCAAGGATCATTCAGCAATGATCAGGCAGGGATAGAAGTGGGACTTGTTTTTGGGGTACATAACTCATTCCGCTCGTACCATCAACTCTTCTTCGGGTTGCGAAGAATTTATCAGCTGTGATTTCACTTACAGGTATAACATTCTTCCACCAAAGCTTTGAATGAGAAGAGCTTGTCTGATTCCTTCGTCTTTTTCTATTAAACATTTATGTCAGTTAACTTCAGTAGGACATCAGGCTTTCAATAATTCAGATAATTCAGACTTGTTTATCTCAGCAGCATGTCGATCAATCGTGTGCTATCTTCTGTGTTTCTTGCAGTCGTACTTTTGAGTAAGTTTTCTTAAGAGCATAGCAGGGCCTCTGTTTCTACGTCACTGATAAGCCCAACTCGTTCCAAACACAGCTTTGGCGATTAACTCTGGAGCCAGGGCGTTTCCCTTGGATCACGATGACACGTTAGTGATGAGATCATGTTGTCGTATGTTTCAAGGAAACTTTCTTCTCATCATCATGCGTCTCTTGAATCCACAGACCCAGAGCAGTTAAACGTGATCTTGGATCGGTGTTGCATAAGCCAAGCAACAACCCTGAGACTGCACAAATTGCACGCCCGATAGTAAGCTACTACTTTTGACTGACGCTTTGAGTATCTTCCTAGCTTACTATTCACCTATGTGCCTCTCCAAGGTTTCCGGACTATCAACTTCCACGATCCATAAGTTGAAGCCAGTCAAAAATTTGACTGTGGCTTCAACTGAGGCAAAGCCCGGCCACGCAGCTCAGTCAAAGAACTCGACAACCTCCAAGACACCGGAGCTACCAAACGTCAAGCCTGGCACAAAGCCTCCCAAGAATCCAACCCCTCCTAAGACTTCCACTAATTCAACTCATGAGCCTCAAAAGCCAACAGTATGTCGAAAGAATCCCAAGGCTCGGTTACCCCGAACCATCAAACCCAAAGCTAAGGTACACATTGATTCTACCCCTTTGACGGAAAAGTGGGAAACATATAATTATTATAAGCAATGAACATGATATTTGGTAGATGATAATAATATATCTGACCATTTCTGTTCCAATCTTTTTATATATTGGGTTCATTGTTTGAGTTTTTTGTATCAGTACGGATAACAAACTCCTTTTCTGATCTTGAGAATTCAGGAGATACCATTTTGTCTTTTTTCTTCAAATAATTGACTTACTCAAATGTTTCCTTCATTTTCATACATTCTATACTGAGTGAATCCTATATCTGATAGTGGCCTTTGGGATTTCTGTTCTTGAGCGGTTGAGTCGACTTTGTGACTTTTATCTGATTAAAAGAAATAGATGACCATTGATCGTCTTCTGGATCCAACCCACACACCCTCCCAATGAGTTTTCCAAGGATATTTTGGTTATAAGAAGGAGGCTTGTTCGGCTTAGATCTCGCCCATTACCGCATGTTTTGGCGCTGTGTATGTCACGATACAGAACTGTTGCTACATGCGCACCTGTCTTGTGTTCTACAGCTTTCATGCTTCTTACGCTGCTCAAAATGCAGCAATCAGTTCCTGAGTTGCTGAAAAATTCTTTCTCACTAGGTCTCATAACCAATCTAGAGCTAAATCACGTCTACGCCGCAAAAGACCGATACAACATATCAAGATAAAGTAAGGTTGCTCTATTTACAGTGAGATAAGTTGATAGGCAGCTTTCTATCTGATACTTAATCATGGATGTAGTATAAAATCAAATACTTTTATCATGATTGCTCTACTATACACTTTTCGTCGGTACTGACTTTTTCAGTTGTGGACTCCTTTGACTCATCTATAACCACTTCAGCATCCTTACTGATCCCTTCACCTTTCACTCCATTCTCCACGCAAATCTTTCCATCTTTCGAGGGCAAATCAATACTCTTCTGATTCTTCTGATTCTTCTGATTCTTTTTGTTTTTTGAGTTTCCCTCAGTGCCTTTTGAAGCAACATCTTTCTTTTGATCCTTTTTGGTTTTGTTCTTATTCTTTGATTTTTCTACAGGTTTCAAATCTTCAAGACCTACTTCTGTTTCGATTTCTTCTTTTTCAGGTTCTTTAAAAAGATATTCGAATGCAGGTAAATAACGTTCCAGTTTCCATACTTCATCAATCCTACAAGTCATCAAATCAAAAGAAATCCCAATGTTCATCTTTCTGTCAATGTTGGTTTGCTCAGGTAAACGTGGAATCTTAGGAAATCGAGTTGAAAAATGATTCAAGATACAATTCTTTGCTTTCATTCTGTATATGCGCGTTTTCGTCAAAGATCGTAAATCAGACATAGGAAAGCAAACACTTGATCAGGCCCTGTCAAATTTTCCAGTATAAGAAAATGAAACTTTCGAAGGTTTGACTGACTCTAATCCAACTTCAATAGCTTGATCAATTGTACAATGTCCTTTAAAATCAGCCAGATCTTTCTGATCGACTCCAAGTGAAGCTTCATGGATTAATAAATCTGCATCAACTCCAGCCTCAATAAGTTCAGGACAACGTTTAGTATCACCCGAAAATCTACATATCCGAAAATCAGGATCAGTCAGCGGGAGTACAAGTGCGTGCTTCTGTGCCTTTAAGATTTCGTACATAAACCAATCTCACACAATCTTCCAACCTTGAATACGATTGCTAAGGCATAACCCAAAGCATTTACCCCAATGTATCACTCGAACTGTTTCGATTTCCATGCCTTTAGGTAGGAATTCTTCGTACTTGGCCTTTTGATCTTGATTTGATGCACGAGCCCCGACCAGTTTCTCGACGTCTATCCAATGGACCAATCCCTGCTCAATGCCCATTGGTTCAACCAATGACTTTTCTCTGAGATATAAATTTACTCCATATTGAGAGACTAGAACCAATGGTGATACCCCCGATAGCTATCGTTCCCATGGTAAAGAATCATTAGACTCAGCTATGTGTTCTGGTGGGTCGCTCCATTTCGGAGACCAAGACCTACCTTGTGCCTTGCGGTCAACAGCGTAGCCAGACCTGAGTGATGATCGGCGTGAAGATGAGATATGAAGATCAATTTCAAGTCTCTGAGCACTTCTTCCCATCGGCTTCCAAAATTCCTCTTGATCTGTCCCAGTGTGCCCTCGCCTGAGTCAAGCAAGGCGTAGTGAAAGCCGGAATGTGATTCATCTGCCTCAGACGGAATGTGTAGTAACGTTCCGCTGACTGATTTAAGGATGGAGGAAGGGGGCCAATGACCGTATCAGTACGAGTCTCTGGTCACTAGGGAGGAGCATAATAGTTCTCAAATATTCCTAGAACGATGTGGGAGGACGGACCATTGCGATACTTTGAGGGATTCGCACTACCAGTTCCTAATGTGGTGACCATGATCCGGCCGGCAATGTTATCTGGCTTAGGATCTAGATTTTCCATCTCTGTCTGTCGAATACGGGCCAATATATTCGGAAAACCCTCTTCGAGCCCAAGTCTTTTGATCAACTCGGATGTTGATTTAGGATTATTAATAAGATCATAATCCAACCTGACTAGCTCAGGTCCAGGTGAAAACTCGCCATTGATTGGAATGACTTGAAATCGGTCGAGGTGGGATAAGGTAGGAATATGGACAGGTATTTTTGGATTTAAATCTCGATATGGAATTGGGAATAGAGTAGGTGAGACGAGACTAAGCTTCAGCTGGAGGAGGACGGAGGGCTCGAATGAAAAGAGATCTGGCGAGTGAGAAGGAGAAGAGAGATAGTGCTGTACATTTTAAAAAGGAGACACAGACAAGCAGATCGTCAGAACGGAGTACTACAGCACACATGAAATGGAAGGGACGAGACTGGTATGGGCTGAAGGCGCTGACCTTGGTATGGCCGGAGAACTGAGATAGCCATGCAACATACCGTTCATCCGATAGGACATCTGTGCCCACAAAGTGGAAGATGGTAGTGAGCTCGGCCCCTTGAGCAAGGTCTTGCATTTCTTGCAATTGAGGCAAAGCAGTGGAATTCAATTGATGTTTGTTGGCCACATTCGAAATATAAAAAGCCTATATAAGATATGTTGTAAGTCATGGATGGGATTTTAAAAATATACAAATAAACTGACCGAGCCATCTGATCCACCTTCTAGACACATCTTGCCTTCAATGATCCTTCCATCCTTTAGCACCAAATCTTCTCCTTTTGCTAATTTAGAGAAATCGGGGCCAGGTTTGACCCCCAACTCTTTGGCTTTGTTCGGTAGAAACTTTCCGCGATGTTTGGGTCCCACGATGAAATAGGATGAAGGTTCTGAGGAGATTGGGCTAGTAGGAGCCTCTAGTTTGTCATAGGAATAGGCAGGAGTAGGACCTGTTTTCGTATCCGGTTTAGGCTTCCGTGAACCTGTGATTGTTGGCCTGAACATGTCTTGAAGGACCGAATCTAGCCAAGCAGAAGGGTCCCGCGTAGTACAACCAGTGCCTTCGACTGGTGCATCCGGGGTCTCAGAGCATATGGACTCAGGATCGACGTTGACTGAACCTGCAACCTTTTGACGTTTGTTAGCTGGTGAAGAATTGTTCGAACATTCTAGAGCTCGTTTGGAAGCGATGGCTTCAGATCCTAATGCATAGACAGTGATGAGATCGTCCTTGAAAACTTGCTCGAACCTATTCCGATTCACAAACTCGATTGCTTCGACAGCCATACCCTCACGTCTAGTATAAAGTCTACCACAAGCCATCATATATCGCGTACCAAGAGGACCGATGATTCGAACAAGTTTTTCACGTTGAAGATCGGCCAAACCCAATAAGAATCCATGAAGTCCTGCAGAATGTTCGACGCGTGGAGTAGCAAGAAAGATAGCCGATAGATATTTGCATGGTATTCGTGCTTGCGCAAATGACCTTGAGGTGTTTTCGGGACAATTGAAAAGATATCGAGCTTGAGGAAAGGTAAGTAGAAGTGAAGCCGATGTAGTATCAGTTGAACAAACGGTAATAGGTCGAATGTTAATCTCAGTTTTGATTCCGAATGTTCTTATTGGGTTCCCGATTCCAGATGCCATCGAATCGAATCGGTATTTCAAAACTTCCAAAAGTTGATCAAGAATCCGCTCAAACGGAACAGTCGAAGGATAAAAACGTTTCAAACAGAAATCTCAACTACTCCGATTGAAATTTTGATGCTTATAACTTTTTCGGATCTCATTCCGTGAATTCGCCCGATGGAAAAGAGATATGATGATGATTGACCCTCAAGCTTTTCATCAGCTAATGAACCCCAATGAGCTTTTGAACACTCATCGATAGCATCATAGTCTTCAGCATCGCATCTTCTCTGATTCAGGCAGCTGCCCCACAATAAAACAGGGGGAAGTGAGATGGTTTGTAGCGCATACAGAGCACGGGCGATGGCAATTCCGATCACGGTAATTACGTCATCGCCTTCGTGGCTCAGCTGGTTAGAGCGCCGGTCTCATACTCTCAGGAGTGAACACATGATCCGTTAGGAACCATCCGGAGATCGCCAGTTCGATCCTGGCCGAGGGCAATTCTTTTTAACATCTACTTTTCTGAGGAAGCTAGCACGCCGCCAATGATGGCAGAGAAACATGGGGTGCTTAATTTGAAGTTGTTGCGAAAATTGCTTGCTTGAAAACAGCTATGTTTTGGTGAAGGAGTGATCACTTTGGCAGGTGGATGATAAGACATTTCGTTATTCGTTGGCTTACAGAGGATGATGATACATCTTCATTACATTTATCTCATCTCAGTAGACAAGAATGGATATTTAAGTCGTGTTTAATGAAATCAATTTTGGTACATTCACAATACAAGTTATAATGAAAATCACTAAAAAATTAGGAATGAAATTGAATGATGTCAGAATCTCAAGTGATACAACATAAACAAGGAGATCAATCAAAAAAAGTGCTTAACAGTATCGAGAAAATCAGCGCATTCGAGCCTGTCAAAGCAACAAAAAAGATTGATCAACTAAAGACCTCTTTTTTTTCAAAATTAAAAAGATCCTAATCCATCAAATCGATCAGCATGTACTCACAATTGAAGAGCCATTTCAATTGGAATTCGATGATCAAAATTATTAGGTGTAGGTGTAGGTTTACCAGCTTTTTCAGCTTGGACATGAGCTAATTTAAAAAGTAAATATTCACATAATTTTTCTACAACAGGAGCACTATGATACAACCCGAAAACAAGTGAGTCAGTACAAACTAATAAATTAAGTCGGAATGAAATTTTCTGGTGAGGTGTTTGGATTGAAATGTGCTTTATGATTCTGAAGAGTGAGATAATGATAGGAAACGGTTACTCAAACGAATGACTGAGATTGACTACTCCTGATTCTGATTCTAGCATTCCCATATCTTCTATACTCATTGATAATCATCCAACCGTCATCCAAAATCGAATACATAAATGAAATCCAAAGAATCGTCAAGTTTTCAATGACTTCATTCGTCGATCCTATCATTCTAAAGTTCATTTACCTGATAACATATCTTTCAATGTGTTTGATAGGATGGCAGCTTCTTTGGGTAAGATGAAGCGGTAATCTACGTGAATTGATACAAGAGGACAATGGTGTCAATATATGCAACCATTATAACAAGATAGAGGGCGGAGATGGAGACTTCAAACTAACTTTCTTCCGAAACGAGAGTGACATACTTCGAGTCCGCGTTCGATTTTTCTCCCATATCGACAATTTGATTCGAATAATTGAGGTTTGGACGCGATCAGTATAAGGTGGACGACGAAAGTCGCGCCTTGCCCCTGGAGGTCCAAAATATGTTGTATGTGGTATGACAGCATATACCTAGTATAAGCATACTCACATACCCCTCAAATCCCATGCCAAACACATAATCCATAATTTGGTAAAGGTCCTGCTCAACAGACGGACTGATGCGGATCAGAGTGATCAAAGGTCATCTTATTCCAAAAATGCAACATTGGAACATCAAAGAAATCTAACGTGATGTAAAAGATTACATATTAAATAGAACAACACAACCACTTGAAGACTAATCTTAATCCAACGTAAAAAGAATTGATTCAACTCCTGATTTGTCCGTTCCGTGAGACTGCAACAAGAAACTCCAGCAGGAGATCTTCTTTACATACAATCAAGAAAATGTTTGTCACAATTTTCCTTTGCTATGTACGCTAGGGGCCCAAGATTTGTGGTTGAGCATTTTTAATTACAATTGGATGGTGATCTAGAGATGTATCCAAATCAAGCTGCTAAGACCACACACAGCATCAGCTTTGGATACTGCTTGCAGGTACATATGCAGCATACACTTGTGTACAACCTTCTTGCTTCTTTTTCTGAATCTGGTTTTGCTTTGGCACTACTTTTCATTAAAAAAGCTCAGCCACCAGACTTGAGCCCCTGCTTGACAAAAGCATTGTGACAAACATCTTTAGGACTACTGAACACATAGGTGATTAATAAATTCAAAAAAATAAAATAAAATAAATCTTAAATCACAGGTTTTGTATAAGCATATAAGAAGAGTTTCTTTCCCAAACCAAGTATACAGTCTATAAATTAAATAAAGGTTTAAATCCTTTAGTTTTCTACTTGGACTTGACTTTAAATTTGATATATGTTAACAAGATATCCAAAATCAAGATTCCAAACCCACTAAACAACAACCTCACTGTTTCTTAAAAGTGAAATACCATATACATATTACATTTTCAATTTGATCTTTCTATATATTTACTAAGGTACATAGAAGATATTTGAAGGATTGATTGATTTTTAGGAAAGTGTAAGGTTTCATCTAAATTTATAATTTTTACCAAGTTCACCAAAAGAAGTTGTAGTAGATGATTTAAATTCAAAACCAAAAACCAAAAACTTATTTGATTTCTTTCAATACAATAAACCACAAAAGACTTACATAACCCTACTGAGAAGTGGTTTTCACAACAAGTTAACCAAGTCACCAACCACATGGAAATACAAAAACATACTCAACAAACCCATCAAAACAATCGTTTCTTTAAAAGAAGGTTGATTGAGTTTTGATATAAGACAATGACTCATACCAAAACCATCAATTTAAGATTGATCAACCCATATACTGTGATATAAATTCAAACTTTTTCATGCAAAATAAAATACTATAGATACATTCTGAAAAAAAGAAAAGAAAAAAGGTTTAAAAAAATGATAACATATAATATAACAAATCATACAATATATAAAAAAATCAAAAACTTTCAAACTAAGTAACTTTATTAAATACATTTACACATATCTACATACAAAAAAAAACCTTCTTCGTTTCATACTCTTATACTCTTACCCGTTTTTGTTCTTTCCCAGAGAAACTGCTTATTTATATAATCAAAGAATGTTTCAAATTAGTCAAAAAAAAAAAACTAAAAAAAGTTAAGGTCTTATATATGATACGATATGATATGATGTGCTTTCTCCTTCTTCTGCTTCTTCTTATGAAATTATACAACATTGGGATGTGGTTTCATCGGTTTCTGAGGTGGTGGTTGTACAACAACAGTTCCATTTGATGAATTTATGATCCCATTCTTTCGTCACTGAAAAAGTATATGAACCATCACATCATTAGTCTTTAAACTTATCATGGGTGGGTGTGAAGAGTTACAGATACTCACATTGAGGATCCGGATTGTTCGGTCTTAATAAAAGATGCATAATGGTTGGTGAACCATTTGCTAGTCTCAAAGCTAAAGTTCCTCATCCCAAAAGTGAGGGGGATAGGACAGATTGATTTAAAAGGAGTGTCGAGAGCAAGAACAAAACCAAAGTGATAATTAAGGAGAGTTCGAGTTAGTGAATCGAGTCATAATCTTAAATGAGAAGATATGGCCCAAATCTGGTTTAAGGCTCACAATCGAGTGCTTCTGAATCATTCAAGAATCGACCCAAGAATAATAGCTTAATCTCATCTGGTCCCTTTGGTGTGATACCCTCTGTACTCCATCCTGGAAAACCAACAGAACAATGATGTCATCAGTATGTGATTTTCCCCTTCAATCATGTTCATGTGGGATGGAAACAGGAGGGGAAAAGTGAATGCTCAGATATTGAAAAGATTCCACAACTAGAGTGAAAATCAATGGGGTTATCAACGAAACCCGGGGTTAAAAGCTTCTATCAAGCAAGATGCGGGGTAGAAAGAGATGATACTTCATACAGTATATAGGATATACTGCTAGTCTTTGTTAAGGAGAGTAAATGCGAGGTAAAGAAGTAAAGAAAGATATGCAAGACCAGTATTGGATGATTAGAACTAACCTGTTGGCCATGAAGATTTAATTCGATGTTTGATATCCAAAGCTTTTGAATGAGAATCAAAAGACAAATTTAATCGATTTAAATTCGGTTTAGTAGAAGAAGCAAACACGAATTCGATCTTGATCGGTCTAACTGGATGATCATCATCAAATGTGACTCTTCTTCTACTGTTCTGATGAGGAAGATGATGACGATTCAAAATCAAATCTGAAGATGAATGAGAGTCTTGTAAGTTAAGTTTAGATCGATTCTCATCTATTAATTTCAATCGATGTTCATAATCTGCTGTTGTTTGAAGTAAAGATTGGTTTAATGAAGTAGAAGCTATCGAATGTGGTTGATCGATGATGGTTGAAGTAGTTGAAACTGCTGAAGTAGGTCTTTTTTGACGAAATGCAACTGGTGCTGGGATTGTCAAAGTATTGGTTGGTTGTGACATTTGATTCATGATGATGGAAATCGATGGGTGGGTTAAGATTGAAGTTGATAAGCTGATGATTGATATCTTCACCAGATCGAGTTTTGATTAGATTATATCTAATTCTTCAGGAAAACATTCAAGCTGGTTTTATAAAACACCAAGTCAAGTGTAAAGGAGCTAAAAGGAAAATGATTGATGATTGATGTATAAGATGAAGCTTTGGAATGATCGATCGATTTGTTTATTTTAATTTACCTTAGAAAAGGAAATGGTGTAAACTCATGAAGGTGATCTTTGAGGATCAAGTGATGGTGTACAAATCAAACCAAATGTAAGAACATCCCCTGTGCACTAACGAAAACGTTCTTAAGCGTAAAGTTTCTGACACAAACATAAATTCGAATTTACGTTTTACCACCAGACGCCCTCCTGCCGAGTCCTGCACGTGCAAATTGACAAGAGATGGCACAGTTGAGTCCTTGACCAATGGTGTCACTGTGAGTTTATGTACGTTTCCCAACCATTCGGAAAGTCTGAAGTTATGTTTACCCGCGTGATCTGCGATAACTATTGCAAATCTCCTCCGGTCTCCCACACAGAGAAAAGACTTTGAAATTACTATTTTAAATTGAAATACGTGGAAATTTGAATTTCTAAAGCAACATGACATAATCATCCTGTGTCACTCATGGAAAAGTCAGGTCAGGTCACGAACCATACATTTCCAAAATCTATGATGGGAGCATGACTTGGTGTCACTCCAATTGAGTTTGCTGTGAATCTCTGGTGACATAATCAAACTTTTGCAAAAATGACGCAAGTTCCCTGTGAAATTCTACTTTGTGTGGTATTTTTGGCATCTTTTTTTTGTGCAGAGTTGCTTTATTGCAAATTCCACTATGTATCTAATCAAGAACATGTCTAGGAGACTAGCTGCATACAAGACAAGTCCAGTTATCCAGTTGATTTGTTAAACTTAACAAAGTACCACACTGAGCCTTGGCAAGCAAGGGACTTACCTTGAACTTGCACGCTTTATAGGCTGAGGGTAAGACTTTTTGCAGGAGATCTTCTTGAAGTCCATCTACACACTTCTCTACCAAAGATTTCTATGTGGCCCCAAGGAGAAAATTGTGTGCCGGTATCTTGCGCCAAGCTTGCCTTTTTTTTCCCAAAGAAGTCAATCCCTTTTGACCAAAAATATGTTTCAAAGATTGGGTCTTGGCAGAAAATCTGGACTCAAGAGGGAAGTCACATGTGTAATTTTCCTTCAGGAGCCAATTTTTGATGTAAACATTAGGTAAGAGGGGAGCACTTTCATCAGGGAAAAAAATATGTACAATTTGTGCAAGATCAAGCCGCACACATTTCTCCGCAGCCAACATATTGAACTCGGATTGGGACATTGGAGGTGTGCTCAACCTTGGACAAAATCTTTTCAAGGTTTTGATCTGAGGTAATCTTTGGTGCATAACAATACCTTGGACAAAAACCTTGGGTAAGCTCAGTCTGAGGATTTGCATCTGATGATACCTTGGATCAGCAGATCCAGGGCATCTATGTTGGTGGAGCTCCTTTGTACCATATACAAATCCTTGGTAGGGAATGAAAAAGGCATCCTGCAAAATGCTCTACCCTCAGCCTATAGAATGTACAAGTTGGAGGTAAGTCCCTCACTCACTAAGCCTTGCTTGGCAAGTGTGGGACTTTGTCAAGTTTATTGGTTTGTAGAGTCAGAGAGGTCTTTAGGTTGTTACACAATGGATAGCTATTCTTTTTTTGGGTATTACTACTGTTTATGGTTTTTGGATCAATAGGGTGACACTAAAAATTTAGTTTGCTCACTCATCCCCAATCTAAGGTGGAAGGAAGGGATCCCAGGGATTGTATGTTCTGTTGGGGATGGTTATCATCCACAACTATCTCTGTTTGGGTCTTACAAATGCATAGAATTGAGTGACAATGACAGTGACAGTCTATTTCCACAAAATAATCCCCATCCCAATATAAGGTGGAAGGTAATTAAAGGAAGATGGTATGTACTATGTGTAAAGTCAGCAATTGTTTACAAATTGTGACAATACCCTCTTGTGCATTAACAGTGAAATTTTGCCAAAAAAACTGCTCTGGATTGTGAGTTCCGTAATGGCATGGAAGTATAGAGATTTAGAGGTTTGGGGTTGCCCGTTAGTTGCTTACCACTTGTCTCCCAGTTCAAGGAAGGAGGTGGGGTTTCTAGAGTTTGTTGAGTTTAATTGAATAAGATAAGCCATGTGGGGATTGCGTACCTGCTGACCCTTGCTCTGTCTGTCTGTCTTGATCTGATTCTGGTACATAAGAATGAGGATGAATGAAACATTCAGTCTTGAGAATATAATCTGTCAATATTGGATAAGATTATTAAGCATTAAGCAGCTTAATGCTGTTATTCCAGTCTACACAGAAGCCCTCCTCTTTCCAGTGACCTTCTTCCTGGTGTTTGGACATTATACACAATAAATGTAAATGGTGAGTGTTTCCTTTAATTCCACAAACTTCACATGGGGGGATGGGACCAGCCTTATTTTGAATAAATGATTGTTCAGAGGGCTATAGCCCACACTTAATTGTAAGATTGCTGCCAACAGACCTTTTTTGAATTTGGCTAGTCCTTTAACTAGCATTTTTGGTTTTGTTTTGAAATTGCTTTGGCCTGGTATAAACAGGAAAAGCTCATTATTAGAGATCTTGTTTTTGTTTCTTCCAACTCCCTAGACTGGTGGGTAGGGGCAACACAGTTTCCTGTGAGTTGATTGGTAATTTCATCAAGTTCAATTGCTTTGTGACTTGGGGTCCAGCAAAATAAATGTTAGCATTCTTAGGTCATCTATATGATCTGGAATTGGATAAAGACAAAGCAGCCAAACATATATCCAATCAAGTTTCTAAAGAGGAAAACAAAGAGGATGCAATTGAAATCTTTGCAAATAGATCAGTTACTCAAGAGGGTGGTGGTGCGGCAGCAGCGTCCAAATTTATCAGCAGAACTCAGTCACTTATTTATCAAAATAACTTTTCAAATCACACAGCCAAATCTTTGGGTCTTTTACTGGCGGCAGAACTTTCCACCAACACATTTATATCATTGAACACAACCAAAAAATGTTTTCCTGAGATAACACATACAAACACACAACTTTTTCACTGTTCTCTGAATTTAGCCTTCAAAGGTGACAAGAAAAATCTGGACAAGAATGACACATGAAGGAAAATATCTTCTTTGTTGAACATGTTTTTCAACATTTTCTGGCTCAGCATGCAAGTCATCACAATTTTCATAAACCTCACAGATATCTGCACACATACCTTTGAAGTCATTCAAAGACTTCCCAAACATGTTGCCATCATTGAAAATCTTTGATTTGAAAAGTTGTAGCGCCATGTAGACGGAGCTACAGCTTTGCAACCTCTGCTAGTTACCTTACTACAATTAGCCTTGTCAGCTTCAACTTCCTTTTCAGTATGTAGTTTGAGCTTGACCCAAACTGTAATCTTGTTCCTTTGATAAAAGTAAACAAGGTGTGGTGTCAACCCAGTAGAGTGGATCTTGTTGACTACAGGCTGCTGCAGGGTCATCACCTGTATTTTTAGACAGTTCTTCAACAATTAAAAGAAAATATATCTCAGTTTAGGAAAGAGAATACTGAATATGGAGAGATACATTGACTTACATGCAGTCAAGTGGCCTTCAACACAGGCATTGTTAATGGGTGATTGGTGGTTAGACATGTTCTTTTTTTGAGCTGTTGTCAAGCTCATCATAAATATATCAAAGGATTGGTATCAGAAAAGCAAGAAAAATAAAAAGGAAGAAAAATGAATGCATTAATAGCAAGAAAATGGTGTAAAGGTTGAAGATAATGCTGGATTTAGATACCACCAGTTCAAAACCTAGGAATTCACAAAGGATCAATTGCTCAGACAATTTTTGAGAGAAAAAGCCAGAAATAAATAAATATCTCAATCTTACTGCCTGAGATTGATGAGAAGAATGGAAACATTAGCTAAAAGTAAGGTATTTATACCTTTTGAGCAAGATCATAGGTAGAATTAGTCTGGTGGGAAACCCCAAAAAGAGGTTATGACCTCATATCCCCATTTTCCAAAATGATCTCATATGAGATCATAACACTGTTTTTTGTTTGTTGTTGACCATAATGAGGGGCAAACAAAAAGATCATCAACATGATTGGAAACTTTGGCGTCTTGTAAGGAACTAAGGAGAATGAACTTATGTATCTTCATTGATTGGCAGGATTTTTTTTGCTGAATATCTTTAATGGAAGAGACACCCTCTGTCTTTGGTAAAAATCTTCTTCTGTTTTTCTAAATTGACAGTCTTGCTATGATGCATGCAAAAAGACACAACCAAAGTCATTCAAAAACTCTGATTTAAAACTGTTATGATCCCATTCCACAGATCATGAGAGTATTACATACTGTGGCACTTACAGTCTCTAGACTACACTTGTACCAGACGCAAGTCCCGTTGTGCTCTCTTCTCTATGCTACAATAACCATATCAAGTGCACCTCACCTCCTGCTCTCCTGTTCCGCTCACGCCCAAGGCCCCTGAAGCTGGCCATAACAAAAACAAACACATACCCTCTTTCCTTCATTGAGCAAATTGATGACCAGAAGTGAGATCAGGATCTGTTGCCTGTGGCTATAACAGGAGATGATAACATGATGAACAATGTGATTGGAATCTTTGGCAGAGCAAGTTGAATTTACAATTATGTAACTCCATTGATTGGCAAAGATAAATTGCTAGACCTCTCTGAATGTCCAAATTGAAGTGGCCAGTGGAGGCCGGTCATGGAGGTCAGAATTGAGGTGGAGCAAGAGGCCAGTTTCTGAAGTTTCCTTGAGGTCCATACTAGACATAAACCAGTATGTATGCTGGGATGTGGTGTTCAAGAATGACAGCTATGACAAAAACCCGAGTTTTGGACCCCAGATGTCAGATTAAACCCGAGCCAAATCTGGGCAACACATCCCCTTGAAATTTACCAATGGTTTTCACAACAGCTGCAAGAATGATTGAAACAAGTTTATAAAGTCACTTTAAGGTAAACCAAACTTAAACCAAAGTTATCAACAAAATGAAGTCATGCAACCAAACGGCCACGTGATCAGCAAACAAACAAAAAACAAATCCACCAAGATGCAGATTGATCAAATCTCGTCAATTCCACCTCAACTCATCACATTACAAATCAACAATTATTGCTGTAAGTGACCTTAGCGCGTGAGATGACATTTCAATCTCACTTGATTCTTTGTAAGAAATCATCATGTATGCACTTGCATGGAAGCCACATGGTGATCAGATTCAGACGTGTGGACCCCACATACATATCCCCACAAAGCAATACGTTTAATTTATGTATAAAGGATCAGAGTGCGTATCAATCAAAGAGTACCTAACCTTTTACAAAGTATGGAGTCAGTTTGATGTTTGATTTTTTATCTGGTTTAAGGTCTTCAGTAAACTTGAGAAATTGGAGAAAGTGAGGACTTCATAAATATAACAATCAGGTTTTTTGGATTAGATCAGGTGACTACATACTCATAACCCAAATAGATTCAAATCAAAAAGTGAAATCTCTGCGGAACACACTATGGAGAGATGTTTGTATTTTTTCCTCATGATATTGTTTTTTTTCATGAATGATGAGAGTGCAAAAGTTGTCTTTTTGGATAGATGATAATAAATATCGCTTGAATGAGAAGAAGATCGGAGGAAGAAGTGAAGGGATTTGTGATATGTTGATGATGAGTGATGACATTTGCTATGACTAAGGACCAGGTAAAAGTTGAGTGTGTGACATGCGTTGTGAAATCAAATCAAATTTTGTTTATTGACTTGAACTGTGACACTTCACACCAACGATCGACTTCAACTTCAACTTCAACTGACTATCACTATCAAGATCATCATCACCATCAAACCATCAGAACAAATCAAATCAAATCAAATCAAATCAATCTCAGCATTCATCAGAATCAGAATCAGAATGTCAAGTATCCAATCTTCATTTCAGCCTGAACAAAATCATCAAACTTTTAATTTATCATCATCAATCAATCAACCATCAGCTCAATCAACTTCAACTTTAGTCTCTTGTGTCTTCTGTATAGATGCATCGGTTCGTCAAAGAATAAATTGGAAATCATTTGGGATTGAATACATTAATGCTTTCATAAGGTCAGACAATCACCCATCATCATTTCTTAAATACCATATTTTGATTTTCTTTTATGTTTATAGGAAACTGGCTATTCTTTATCCTGGTGCTCGAATGAGATTTATGCCTGTCTTATTTAACTCATTACCACCTACAACACCAGCTTCTATATCAGTTTACCAACCGTTACCTTTCTCAGATCTTTCTACGTTTATCAATGCACTTCCAACCCTCTTACCCGGTTTCTTACCTGAACCAACCTTATCAGATCAATCTCCTGAAATAGATCCATCAGCTGATTATCAATTATACGGTGGAAGTGAACCTGCAATCTTAGAAGCCATCATTCGAGCTATGGAAGTCATGGATCAAAAATTCTCTCCAACTTCAACCAGGTCTGCTCCACCTCATCGACGTCAACACCATGTCGATCCTACCCTTCCACACCGTCGTCATATCGTCGTACTCACTGCCACTGATTTGGGCCCTCCTACACTACAGCCAGCTTTCTCTGGCTCAGTTCATTCAGTACCAGATCCGTTGATTGAAGAATTACCGAGAATTGTGCCTCTCTTCAATAGAAAAGCTGAATATGATAATGTCACTCTTCTTGATCTTGCCGGTCGATATCGTAAAGATGCTCAAGGTCGTTACAATCCAAATGACAAGAAACCAGGTTTACTCGAACAGAAGAATATCATTCTTGGTCTTATTGCAATTTGTCGAGTACCAAAGCTAGCAAGCTTTCTTACCAGACTTCAGGGTCAAAACCCATCCCCAAACTCTAAAGATTTGCTTCGTTCATTACATCCAACTCATTATACCTGCCTTCCTGGTTTCAATGGAGTCCCTGCCTCTCCTAATAAACACGCAGTCTTATCAGATCTCATTCCCCGATTACAAGTTGAACCGAAGCCTAATCCAAAAACTTCAGCGGACCAACCTATTGCTGTCAACCAAGCATCGGGTACTCAAAAACCTAGCCCATCTTCACCCCACTCTCAAAAACGATCTCGGACTGACTCGGATGATGATGATCAACCATTGGCTCAAATCGCTCCTCTTCACAATCAAAATACCAATCTTCCGACACGTACTGCAGCCCAGTCTGTTCAGTCCATGAATACGCTCCCACCTCGATCAGTAAATGTCAACAATAACCTTCCTGGCTCGAATTTTGATTTATCATCTTTTCTTCCTAATCCTACTAGTTCCAATCAACGAACCAACACAACATCACCATTTCCACCACAGGGTGTCTCTCAAAATATGCCACAACAATCAAACGTCCATTCAAATTTCCAAAATTCACTTCCACAGGGTGTTGATCAGAATTTGGCACAAGGCCTTTCGCTTCTATTGGGAGGAGGCCCAACTTCAAATAATCTGAGTCATCAGCCAACACCGCCAGTTTCTAATCCACCCATTGATCCATCAACATCCTTCCAACGACCAACACAACCCACGATCATTGATCTAACTCAAACTTCATCTCAATCTAGCGCTCTTGGAAGTTCATCACCTGCACTTCCTCAACCAGCACCACCGACTGACGATCTTTCAAGAGCATTAGCTTTATTAGGTGGAAGTGGAAAAGAAGTTGGATTACCATTAAGCCGACCGACATCCTCTTTACCTCAATCAAGACCGACATACAATCCACCATCAACACAACCTGTAACAAATTCAATGCCCACTCAACAACAAATACAATTACAACAACAACAATTAGCACAAAAACAACAACAATTAATCCAACAACAACTGAAAAAACATCAACAACAGCAGCAAGAAATGAATTTTCTTTCTTCACAATCTCAAGCCAATCCTAATAATAATAACAATAATGAGAATAATAGTGATAGTAATAGGAGGGATATCCCTCCTCGTGGTACATTACCAACATCAACATCAACACCAACAAGACATATCAGTCCTGCACATCGAATGTTAATGGAAGCAGCTCAGGCTCATGCTAAAGCTGAGTTATCAAGTATTGATCTTAAGAGAAGGTCAGGCGAGATTACAGAAGCTGAAGCTAAAGCACAAGGTGTGAGGGTTAAACAAGTGATTACAGATCAGTTGAGTGTTTGTTTTCATTCTTTTTGATGGATGAATGAATGATATGATTGGATTTGAATTGATGGATGATGATGGTTTTTTCAGGTTGAGAAGTATTGCTATGAAAGCTCAACAGGCTCAACAAGCTCAACAACAATTACATACTCAAAACTTTTCGGGTCCATCTACTTCAACTTCGACATCTGGAGGAATGGTCAACCCAATGCTTGGTCCAGCTTTGAATCCTAATGGTCCGAATGTAGGACCAGCTCATGTGAGTGAATTTTGTGATTTGATGATAGGTAATAGTAGGATGATAGAATTGTAAATTGGTTTACGAATAATAGCCATCTGAAGGACCTATGATTTGGCAAGGTACATTGAATTGGACTGTTGGAACTAAACCTAATGGACAAGAAGAAACGGTTTCGATTAGATTAGGAGGACATGCAAGTCCAGCACAAAATGCGAATGAATTGTAAGTCTATCTTGTCTCTTTTCGAGGAAGTCTAGATGTGAAACAAAAAAAAAGTAAATGAAACTGACTGAACTTGTTTTTGAATCATCAACAAACACTCGGATTTATGTCTTTTTCTTACAGGAGAATCGTAGCAGAAAGTTGGCCAAAAGTATGGAGAATGATGGGTAGTCTAAGAAGTACGAATTTACACGAATTATCTGCACATACTACTATTAATAAACCGCATGGACTTTCATTACATTTGATTTCGAATGGAGGAGGTAAAAGAGATGAAGATTTGTATGTGAAGATCTGTGAAAGTATGATTAATAATACAGTTGAGTGATTTTTGTCATAGTATTTGTTTGTGAATATTTGATGAGAAAGCTTTACTGATGAAGATGGGATTAGTTTGGTGTAGTGATTTTTGATGAGATTGGACATGGAGTCGTTTTACTATATAATCGAACCATGAGAACTCTTTTCGGTTTAGTTTTTCAAAGGATGCCAATCCCAAGTAGTTTAAGGATCTCAACACCACATACTCTTAATCAAACTCCTACATCTAATCCAAGTCAAAGTCAAACACCAATTCAAAATCAAACACCTACTCAAAATCAAACACCTACTTCAAATGTAAGCACCATAGGAACCGGAACAGGCATCAGAGCTATCAATCCTCAAGCACAAGAACTTTTACAAAGTTTATCGGCTAGTTTGAATTCTCATCATTTGTTTAATCATCAACTTAAGGTTTCTAATCCGGTGGTCAGTCTTGGAACTAATAATCTTCCGGGTAATCATCATAATGTGAATAATCATCAGCATAATAATGGGAATAATAATCATGGGAATAATCCGAATAATAATGTCAATTCTGGAATTCATCCTGATTTAGTTGATGGTGGTGGAATGTATTTAGGTATGAATCGATGAAATGCGATTGGGAAAAAGGTTTGAGTTGGGGTTTGGTTTTTTGCTTACTTATTTGGAGGTTTGGTTTGAAATTTGATTAATGGTTTCTTTTTGTTTTGATGCATTTCTTGTTGAAAAAAATTAAGTCAAACGATGTTTTTCTTTTGTATAATTGTTTTATTATTATTTGAACTGCATTTGAAAAGGTTTTACTTAAGAGGTTATATATATATATACATTAAATTTTTCATTGCAAGAAAGAAAAATCAAAATCAGGGATGTTTTTTTATGATGATGATGATGATGATAATGTTCATAGATTAGATTGAAAGAAAGAGGTTTTGAAATAAAAGCACATGTAGATTATTATTAATGTTGAATATGGTCTTTTTGTAAGAGAAATAATGATCACGAGCAACACTCTTGAAATTTGGTCCTCTCATAAGCATTTTGAAAACCATGGACTGATCTTTCGCGGTATATGCTGATTGATTCCTTTAGGGTTGTGGCAAAGTTGTGGCAGATTCCCCTGGGTCGCAACTAGTGATAACTAGAGAGGATCAAACAAAAATTTGACCAAGGTTGAAGCAGTAGTAAATAACGTGTCTATTTTTAAATTAAGATTTCATAGAGAACTACAGCCAGTGGTAAGGAATCAACAAATTATATCATAATAGATTATAAACAAAAGTTAAAGTTTTGATACCTAATTTCTCGTCATGGTCTTCATCAGACAAGAATCAAGATGATGATTGTTTTGTTTTTTGAAAAATTGAACCCAAGAAGCCAAAACCAATGTCTACAAACTGCCCTCACCCTACAGATACCTCCTCTATCAGATGTTTAGATGTGATCAGGTGCAAGACTTTTTTCATTGATATGAAACTTTAAAAAGTCTTGCAATGTTTTCAAGAAGTTCTTCTTCATTGTATGAGTTTTTAAAAAATTATCAAAATTTTCCGAAATCATTCCAAGATGCCACTTGGCTCTTGTTACTTCACTCTTCCAATCAGGTTGTTGTAATGTATGTTGTAAGGAATTCCAATAATATGCATTTATCCAAAACTTTCGACGGATATGATATGTAACCTTTGGTTTTTCTTGATGGATTTTATACTCGGAATTCCAATGATTTGCAATGATCCGAAACTTTTGTCGGAGGTTATACGTATCCTTTTGTTTTTTTCGCGGAATTCCTTCCTTGGGTAGATCCTTGATCAGATATTCGGCATTTTTCTTGTCAAACTCCGTGTCTAATGTGATTAAGCAGGTCAGTTCAGGTTTATCTACAGACATAAACATCTGCAAAAGAATTCAATATCCTTGACAAATACCACCACTTACATCTTTGCATTTCATGTCGCATCTTAATAGCATAGCCCATCCAATGCCGATTTGTAAAGCCGTAACCGTTCGGGTCCTTTAACAATTCGTTCCGTAAAGTTGTAAGCCAGTTGGCATGTCTAAGCATGGTATCCCAATCGTTCGCCTGAACAGCCAACTTGACCAACGATGTGACCAATTTCGAATCATCAAAAGTTTCCTTTTCTGTTGCTTTTGTATGCTCTGATCCTTTGGTAGGACTTGTTACTAACTCTTGGAAATAGTCTTTTAAAATTGGATCGATTGAGGCATCTGAATTCAAACTTCTAGGTGAGGATAATGAAAGATGTTCCTTTTGATCCGCTTCGAAATTATCTTTCACAAATTCTCTCATAGTGTTTCTAAATTCTTCTCGTATCTTGATGGTTTCGTCTAATCCTCCTTCCACCATCCAATAACCTATTTCAGTCAAACAGTCTAAGATTCTCCCGTTCTTGGTCTCTATATTGACGAAACAAAATGTCATTAAAGAAAGTACGGGATATTGGATCTGATGAGTTTAGCAATCAAGACATTTGAATCACAAACCTCGCATGGGAAGTTCAGTGAAAACTGGGAATGCCACTTCGTCGTGTCTTGCGCGTTGGGTCCGTGGCAAGATGTTGGTAAGATCCAAGCCGGCAACTCTACTCAAACTGAGTAACTCGCTGTTATCACCATCACCCGGTTTTTTCGCCAATTCCTTGAGCGAATTTTGAAGTCCTTTGAATTCTAAGGAAACGCAAACGGAACAGAACAACAACAATGGTGCGAAGATGTACCGCATGGAATTCTTATCCTACGCTCGAAAGCGCTTTTGTAAGGAACAAGAAAAATATCAATGCGATGATGGGATTGTCACAAGAACACTGTTGTATGCGAAGAGAGATTTATAAGCCACACGACTGATGATCTTATAAGGAGGCGGAGTCTCACAATCGGCAGCCAGTCTATGATGTACTCTGCAGGTCCCAGAATGGTGCCATACGTGTGATGGCATCGGTGTAACACTATGATTTGCTTTGGGTTGGAATCGGGTTGCGAATCGTCATGATCCAATCTATCAATAGATGATTAGACAGATCCTGATGCCTCCTATGTAAATAAAGTTCTGAAGATATCGGTCTATTACCTAAACCGTTTCATCGATTGGTGGGAAGTTTGCGCTTTTGTAGATTTTCGTAAAGAGTGAACGGAACGGCACCATCCTTTCATCGGGCTTCTCTTCCTTCGTACTGACTCCGTTACTTTGGCCGGAGTCCGCAGGTTGATTACTCCAGTCTCCATCAGTGAGACTCGGCCGCTTGTATGGTACGCTACCGCGGAGACTTTCAAATCGTATCAAGTCAGATAGTGCAGAGGAATGGTCCGGCGTTACAAACCGGCACACCAGATGAAAATCTTGGTTATCTGAATCGACTTGAGCAATAAGGTTGGGTCACTAGTTGAGGGATTGCCGCTATTATTTACTTTGATCACAAAATCTCATAAATCCGCTACCATCCTCTCTCCGTGTCCCATGGAACAGATTCGCAACTGTTAGTTTCATCTCAGTAGTCAACGCGATCTTCTCTGCACGCGTCCCCTATTCATATCAACACGTTTAATCTTCAAGATGGGGACATTTCTATCACGTTTCGCTCAAGCACCACAGATCGCGACCTTCGGAAATGACGAGATCTGAGTAATTTCCCCCATCTAAGCCTGGTCTGAAGATGTTAGCGAGTCTCAGAAAAGTTTGATTGCTTTGATGACAATTTTAGATTGAACGATGATCTTAGCATATAACGAACGAGGTGTGAAAAATTGTATGATGACTACACCTGGAGATAAGGGTCTCTTTTTCAATGCTTGACGGGGACATATGACGTTGCAAAGTTGAAGGTTGCTTTAACACGTATTGCAATCTCCACATTGAAGAGTGCAACAAGTTGCAGTTTGGCTTTGAGAGGCCAAGTCTGCAGTGGAGGTGTTGATCAACTTTACTCTGGCCAAGTCTCAAATTAATTTAACACACCGGCAAGAATAACTTAGCAGGACTATGTTTTCATGTCACCCAACACCATGAGGATAAATCAAATCAGTAGGACTGATTGATCACATATCATCTTAGCTACTGCATATGCAACATTGATAATTTTAAGGGTCTTGTAACTTTCATGGTCACGATGTTTTTCTTTGGTCATCATGGTGAGCTCTATAACACCAAATGTGTGGAGTATATTGTAAATTTTCAAATCACGCTTCCCAAAGAACGCGATCGGTCAGGTTTGCCGAACAAAACATACACTTACAGCTGTTGTGAGAATCATTGGTAAGTTTTGAGGTTTTGTGTGTCGCCGAGATTTAACCCAGGCTTTAATCTGGAGTCCAAAACCTCTTTTTTCTCGATTTCTCAAGCCTAAACCATGATTTGGTTCCTTTGACTGTATTTATCATATCTGACGTTTATGGGTTCTTCAATTTCAGGATGGGGGCACAGCCTTAAAAAAAAGGCGCGCCCTGGAGCGTTTTCGTGAAAAAGGGCGCGTCTAGGCGCCACTGGCGCGTTAGGCGCGGCCTTTCACCGCGCAAAAATGAAAAAACATGAAAAAAATGTGAAAAAAATCCAGGAAATGCATTTTAACCAACCTTAAATGCATATTTGTTGCTGACGAGGTGGAAGATGGATTGTTTGAAGGTCTATTCTTAATTGAAGTTGATTCATAAAACAACTTGAAATGGATTTTATAAGAAAATAACCACGTGGAAAGCCCCACTTTCTCACTATGAGGCATACAGGCCTTTGGGCGCGCCCACCTTGTTTCTGAGATGTTTAGGCGCGCCTTGCGCCCAGGCGCGTTATTTTTTTTGCGCCCCCATCCTGACTTCAATTCTTCCCTCCTGATTTACGGGATACAAACTAGAAACCCGGATTTGTTCCGGGTTTCCCAATTCGGACTTTTTGGCTGTGTTTGCGCAAACTGGGAAACTGGGAGAACGTGGGAAAGTTCCAAACACAGCCAAAAACAAAAACTGGGAAACTGGGAAAAAAACCCAGTTTTAACTTTGTATCCCGTAATTGAAGCCATCAATTTTCTCTAGTCCAGTTTCTTTAGCACCGTTTGTTACGCACTCCGGTTCCTCCTCATTCTCCCTCACCTCCACCCCTCAAAAAATTCCGCCATTCAAAGATTTACGTAAATTCAACATTTTCAACCAAAGTTTTCAATCACGATAAGGATCATGATGATATTTCTGATTGATATAGGCATTGAAAACCGCTCTGAAGTCATGCAATTATCAATGTTTTCAATCATGGAAAGAGGGTGCATACGAGTCAGTCGAGATTGTTTGAATCCAGGTTTCCAAAATCAAAGCTTCAAGGAAGAAAAAAGAACTGGATATCAATCATCTCAAAGTTTTCAAAATCAAAGTCAATTTTATTTGGTCAATTCATATAACATCAAGAATGAAACAATAAGAAGGTATCATGACAACAAAGAGTAGTTTAAAGTATGTATGTCAATTCTTTCTCTTTTGCCAAAGATTTCAAACAGCTGATTTATATTGTTCTTTGCTCCCCAATATTGTGAACATTGATTGAAAAATGGGGTGGTGAGGTCATCTGACCTCATATGACCTCACCATTGTAAATGGGGATCGGTTTGATCATCCTGGAAGGGTATAAATAGGGGTACGTTTTCTTTTGTTTCTTTTGGTTTCTTTGTTCATCTCATCAATCTCAGCCAGTCAGTGACATTGATAGCATTTGTTTGCTCAATGTTTTTCTTACCCTTTCTTTCTCTCACCTTGACTCTGACCAATCCTTCCTTCATGAATCCCCAGGTTTCAAAGTTAGTCCTCCACAATCAGCCTTACAATTTTAACCCGTGCCTCTGCTCCTCTGTCTTGTTATTAGTTTGTTTTGTTTTTCCTCCCTTTTTGGTATTTGGTTTCATTCTAATTGTTAGCATATCTATATACTATCAGCTCAGCAACAACCCTTATATAAATCCTAACATGTCTAACCACCACACAACCATTGAAAAAGCCTCCAAAGTCAAAGAAGTGCCCGCTGTTGAAGGTCACATGAATTCATGTAAGTCAAGCTCTCCAATTACAGAGTTTTGCCTTTTCTAAACTGACATACTCTTCCAGTATTTGAAGAGCCTTCTACCCAAACAGGCCATGATGCTCCAGCGACCGGTCTTCAGCAAAATCCTCTTTACCAAGTTGGAACGGCACCGCGTATTCAATTTGATTGAAGAAACGAGATGACCGTGCAGGTCAAGTTCAAAATACATACGGAGAAGGAGGTCAAAGTTGACCAGGGCAATTCCATGAAGGTAGCTACCCAAGGTCGCAAAGGGGCTGCTACTTCTATGGTCCGCCACAACCTTGTTGAGTCGAAGATGTTCAACCAAGGCAACATCCTCGAGCTGGTGAAGTGCTTATTTGGAAAGTCACTCCACAATTTTAAGGGTATGTGTGGCGATATCTGTGAAGAGTACAAACCGGGCATGCACCATTTGGTCCTCTCAAGCCCAATTGCTCCTTGCTTGATATGGATGGGTCAAGTTGGTTCTGAAAAAATTACCCTTGTTGATTCTCTCACTTGGCAGGCATTTGTGGATTTGCTTTCAAAAGCTACAAAGCACAAGGGCTTGGTGATCATCTTTACTGAAAACAAAAAAGAGAAGGCAAAAAAGGTTGCCCAGGTAAGTCATTTCACTATAATGACTCGTGCTTCATATTCTCACTTTCTGACATCTCATGTCTCTCAGAACTGTGCAGCCAAAGAGTTGATTGCTTCAGCCAGCGGTACCACAGCTGCTGAAGCACAGATGGGTGTTCTGAGCAAAGAGCTCGAGGTTTGTGATCTTCTTTCTCTGCATTTCTTTTTCAAACTTCTGACCTCGTTTGTGAGACAGGATGCCCGTAAATGGATTGCCCTCCACAAGTTAACCACTGAACTGTTCCATGATCAAGCTCAAAAAGGCACTTCCGGGGATCGGACAGTGTTAGTTTGCCCTTGGGATCCCACTCTCCTATACCACCTAATGTGGAACAGGGCGTGGGTCTGGGCAAAAGTGGTGGTAAGTCTAATGTTCATCTTTCATTACTTTCTGAAGGACTGACCCTGCTTTTTCTTGTAGAAATCTGGCATGGCCACTCGCAAAATTCCGCCCCAAACGTATGAATATCTTGCTATCATGAAGAAGTCCTGTGTCTACCACAAGGCTACCTCGGTCAATGACCGAGTCAAGATGCGAAGTGCTCAAATGCAGGTTGACTTATCTCCAACCTTTTATTGTTCCGGTGGCTCTTGCAAGTCTTTCTTTGACCTTCCGGTGTGGTGATCTATTTATAAAAATGGGATCAATCAAGAAAATTAATCATTATAACTTTGTCAAATTATTTAAAAACTTCAGTGTAGTAGAAAATTCAAAATGAAGGTTTTCAGATCAATTGAAGCTCTTAGAGGCTTATGTGTAGTTATTAACTCAAGACTATGACATCTTATTTCAAATATATTCTTAAGATCATTATAGTTTACTTACAAAGTTATTACAAAAAGACAGAAAAAGAAAAGATAAGAAAAATTCAAAAATATAGGTGTAAAAGTTGGAAAATGGTTTTTAGGGTATTAATAATAAAGTTATGGGTATAATGAGGTTAGAGTATGGAAGAACAACATCGTATTATACAGAAACAATTTTAATCTTGGAGGTTGATAAGGAAAAACAGAAGTTATTAGCGGAAAGGTACTTTTTTGAAGTTGGTAAACAAGGGTTATGCGTGTAGTTTACATATGTAAGAGTGGTAGTAGTGGAAATTAAGGTTGCCAAGAGGATTTTCCGGGATTTTTAAGGTGATAGAAGATGATGTCATATTACATGAGCAAGAAAAAGAGAGTAGCAGCTGTGAAAAGTGAAGAAAATGGGTGAATTTCGTGGAAAATGAAGGTTTTCAGCTAATTACATATGTCAAATGACGTCAGATTACGTTGGTATATATCTCATTCGAAGCAGAAGCGTGTATTACATAATGTACAAGCTTTAAACCATCAGTAGCGGAGGTTTATGTCAAAAGTTATAAGGGAAAAAAGAAATTGGTGTGAATCTTGAATTTACAGTCACAAGTCAACATGTAACACCAAAAACCTTAACTTCACAACTCAATATCTTACTCATCACTCATCAGAAATAGGTCATATGGGTGTCATAAATGATCAGTATCACAAGGGCTACAAGATGCACTGTAGTAGTTCAAAATTGGACCCCATCTGAAAAAAATCGTAATCTCAAAAATTGGTTTGCAGCTAGTTTACAAGGAAAAAACCACATGTATTCATCTTAAGAAGTGCTGTACATTAAATCATTGCGACATTGATCACTTTTGGCTGTGAAAATTACATCATACATTAGTAACAAGATCATTACATGATTTTTAGGGTTCTTTAGGCGGATTTGGCTGGTTTTTGAGGCTGTTGACTATTGCAGAGGTTGTTACATGTGGATATAAGTACTCCTTGATGATTTTGGGATTGTTGTTCCCTTTTTGGCATCTATACCTTTGTTGTAGTGTTATAAATCATCATTTATTTACTATATTTGTACTAAGATCACTTAAATCTGCCCCTTCAAAGCAAGGAGAAATTCATTTACGTGTGTTAAAGACTATAAGTCAATTTGGGAATAATACTTAACAACAGTATTTCTAGTAATAACGTAGTGTGTGGACTTTTTGCGCTTAAAATCTGGGAATAATACTACACAACAGTATTGCTTTATTTCTTTGGTACCTTTATCTTTTTCTTTGTTATCACAAAGTGGTCAGCAAGTGCCCTTGTGCTGGTTTCTTTGAAGAAGGCAGTATTTAGGCAAATTCTATTATATTACATGTAGTAGATTATCCCTTCTTAGGTGTTGTAAAGCTCTTGTTGAGCTTTAAATACTACACTGGCAAAGCTTTTGTTTCAAACTCCAACCACTGCCAAGCCAACGCAATCAGCCTCTTTCGCTGGTTTCACTTTATCTGACACCCACAATAAGGCTAAAGCTCTCCCAGGTACGCGGTTTTCTCTTCTAGTTTCATTCATAACCAAAATCTGATCTTCCTTCCGTTTGGTTTATTCCCGCCCTGAAGATGAGGCCAAAAAGATCAAAATTGAACCAGGTAAGCTGTCTCCGTATCAACTCCCGTTTCACTGTTGAAGTCTCATCAGTTATTGTGTGATAATGACAGGTTCACCTTCCAAAAAGACCTTCTCCAAAGGCATTACCATCCATTTGTCTTCTGATCCCCCATCACCTATCAATTTTCACATTAAACAAGAAGCAGGTAATGTCACTTCTTTCCCTTCTTAGAAACTTTTGGCCCGAATTGATGATTGTTTCTTTTGTCCTTTGCTCTTCTTGTTTGACCTTTGCTCTTCAGTTTTGCCAAAGGCCTTGGGAAAGGGCATACCCATCGTGATCTCTTCAGATCCCCCATCCGATGGGCCAAACGTGTCATCTCAACCTAGCTTCTACTCTGATACATTTGAGGTTGGCAACTCCCAGATCGAGCCTTGGACTGATCAACAAGCTCTATCCAGCTTTTCAAATCTCATTCACCGCAAAACTCCTGGATACCCCAAGGCCCAGGACAGAGCTCATGCCAAAGCCCTAGAGCGTTTCTTGGACCATTGCAATGTTCCTGAAAAGGCCAACACCACTCGAATGATTCTCAAGAGCGCCGGCGTGAAATCTTGGACCAACTTAATCCCTAGCGTGCAATTCACAGAGACCTCTTTGACAGCCCGCGGGATGCACCCAGCTCTTGCCGCTCACCTCCTCAGTGAGGCCATGGAATGGGCAAATGTTCTCAAGGGCAAAGTCGAAGCCCTCCCAGATAAAGATGCCCTGGAAAGTCACTTGGAATCTAACCAAATTTCTTCTTCCCCCGAGTTCTGATTGGGTTCTTTTTCTTAGGAAGATGTGTTCCTTCCTTTCCTGATTAACAAGGCAAAGTTGTGTCTTCCTGTTATGTTGGTGTTCATCTGGCTCTTTGAATGTTTTACAAATCAAAGGATAAGAAATTTCCTTTATTCTCTTTTTTAATGATTCAAAGTGGTCTTTTGTTTTCTGCTCTGTGTTTTGGCTTGTTTCCGTCTTGTTTTGCTTGCTGCTGCCTCTGTTTTTCAGACGCATGACCCATGTGTTTGCGGTTCCTTAAGTCTTGTTTGTTTCCATCTTTTTCATTTCTTTGCTGTGCCCTCTTTGTATGATGTTGCAGACACAGATCCACAATCTTGTGATAACTTGCAAAAAAAATTGACTCAATTCTCCTGACTTATCCAAATGTGAGACTTGAGATTCTTATGAAGAATAAAAGTGGTCTTTGTTCCCTTTTTGATTTTCATGAGACAATTGTTCCAGGAGCAAGTCTCCAAAGCGAGACATCACCCATTAATGTAAGGTCAACGCCCCCACAATACTGTACTGTACTAGTATTGCAAGATACTAGTACAGTACCGCCACATGATACTTGAAGTATCTTATTTCGGGTACCGTATCGCCCTGCCCGATACAAGCACAGTACAGTATCACACAACCGTGCAATACTAAATACTCACACTGTACAGTATCAAGCAGGCAATACTGTACTAAATGAGGTAGTATCAGATTATAACCGATTATGAGTGTCTCTTTTGATCAAAAGCAGATCAAACAACACCGGCGTTCATCACTGCAAACAGCTTCTTTCATAGGGCTTTTGTAAACTTTTCAAGTTGAAGCAAGAGTTTGTTTTATCAAGGAGAACATTTGCTTTCAATTGCTTTTGCTTTTGTCTGATCCAGCGAGGACAATTTCTTTGCTTGTTGTGAGAAATATCTTTGGAGTTGCTTTTGCGTTTGTCCGATCCTGCTTTTCATTTAACCAAAGGATCAAATGCAGTCCTGGATGATATAAATAGTAGCGACCCAATGCACCATCTACCCTTCTTATTTAACTTACTTACCAACCCTTTCAATTCTTTCTTGACCCTACCGATTGTTTCTACATCCAATGCACACAGTCACCAAAGTGCCAATCAACCATCCTTCAGACATTGCTTAATCATTGATTATTTCATTTTATAACCATCAGTTGAAGTTTGTTGGAAGGCAGTGAGCCAATATCAATAAACCAACTATCTCAATTTTGACTCGAACTCATTTGAAGTTTGTTGGAAGGCAGTGAGCCAATATCAATAAACCAAATATCTCAATTTTGACTCGAACTCATTTGAAGTTTGTTGGAAGGCAGTGAGCCAATATCAATAAATATCAATAAGAAGATCAATTACAATCTCTGGAATTCCAAACTCGGATGTCAATCACGCAGATGTAATTTCTCCAAGATCCTCAGCAATCGTCAAATTGGTACTTTTTTAGCTAAGCTGCAGTCATATTTTACATACATCAAATAGAAAGAAAACAATCTTTGCAAACAAATAGATAGAAAGTTCTAAAAATTTGAGTCATTTGGTGAAAGGTTTTCCTAACAACACGATTTTAAAGTAAAGACACAAAGCCATTTGATAAAATTTATGTTCAAAAAATAGAACAGCGGCTTCTGGTGTAAAATCTCACTTCAATCCAACAGCAGCTCGGCGAACTCTCTTAGTCTCATCAGCTGCAAGACAGTCATTCAGGACTTCACCTGTGTGCTTCAGATTCAATGTAAGAGGAACACCATTAGCCATCCATATACGGCTACTGACACAGCGTTCAATGACTCTAGGTTTGAGGGATCCTCAATCCATCCCGCAGACGTCAGCAGCCGCTGAAAATGTTCTTTCGACAGCACAGGATGAACCACTACTCGCAAGGAAGTCGTGTGCTAGGGATGACAAGACAGGATATTTGTTGGCATTGACCTACATGCATTTTGTAAAAGCAATCAGTTTCTCATGCCGCCAGTGATATATTGAGGAACGACCGTACCTTCCACCAATCAAGAGCAAGATGTGGGTTTCGTGCCATTTCCTGAGATAAACCCTTGACGCTTGAAAACTCGGTCATTTCATCGGAAGAATTTTCAGTTGATTGTTGGTCGTGAATGTGAAGCATAGGGTCAACTGGCTCCTCATCAATGGCTTCAGAAGAGGGCATTTCAGCTGGCGGTTTAGAATCATCAAGCCGTACTTGACGTCAATAAAATTCGGATTGAAACAAGGATTTGGCTCTGCGAGATTCAGCCAAGTGTTCACCAAAGGCAGCGTGAAAGAACTCCAAACGCCAGCTAGGATGTAACATTGTTGCCATGACGATGACGTCGCAAGCAAGGGCTTGAGCAAGATAAGTTTTGACTCGTTTGTTCATTGCGTAGAACATTGGATAGAGTTCACTGTTACGGTTGTGTGGGCGGAGCTTCATCTTGAGGTGGTCCCTAAGAAGCTGATATTCTCGGAGGACCATGCATCCAGTGGGACCATCACCCTCCATCCTTGATGTTACCTTGACAAAATACTTTGTCCAGAGGTAATCAGCACAAATTTTTGCATTAGAGATGAAGATGTACACACCTCGAGCTCGTTGTTGAGTAGCTTGATTCTCCGCCAGTCTTCGTGTGTAAATGTCACACCTTGGAATATCCCGCTTGGTGAATCATCGTTTATATCAGCCTGAGAGTCTGGATTGTTGCGGGGCCGTCTAGTATTTGAATGGCTAATCCTATCCTTTTCCAGGATCACATCAATTACCTGAACCACATAAGGATACGTCAGCTAGAATGAATATCAATGGATGCAGTGTTTTCCCTTACATCACGTGCTTCCCATCCACGAGTTCGGCTATCCCATTTGATATTCCAGCGTATTCCATAACCTGGTATCAATTTACGTACTTTGATCCCCAAAGACTGAGCTGTTGCATCAAACACCTGGCAAAGTTGGGCTAAACCAGCCAACTTGCGTAAGACAAAATCATACTACATGATTGGAAACGGCCAGATTGTTATCTAACCAATTATATCAAAAGGAGAACCCAAAATAGAAAAATTGCACCTTTTTTAGTAGCACATCCAGTGGAACCAGTGGTGCGCTTGCATTTTGAAACAAAGTATTCTGTGAACGGTTTGGTGGGTTGACCAGCTGTGTAGGCGGCTCTGCATGACCAGGAGTATCTTCATCATTATACCATGAGTCATCAACTGCTGACCCACCTATGTCAACCTCGTCATGATCTTCATCACCACAATCAAGAATATCGACTTCTTGAATCGAGCAGGTTTCACCTGCAGGGCTGCTTGGAGACTCTTTTGCATTCTCCTCATCTTCTTTGACAACTGTTTCGAGGTGGTGCGGGATCGGAAAAGCTCCTCGGCGCAACTCTTTGATTGCTGATGGCTCTGGTGTAGCTGTGCCAATTGCAGAGAGACCAGCGTTGACAATTAATGCAACTTTATGACAGAAGCATCGGATGTGACGGCGCTGAGGATCCCAATCATATTGTTCATTATCTTCTTCGGCGGCTTTTTGGAAAGACTGGTGCATTGTTCGGGCAAGTGTATTATTATTCGAACCAGAGTCTGTGGTCTGTGCAATCATGTGGATAAACAAAACAAATTATCAATCAGCAAATTTCACGTGGTAGAATAGAAAACTAAATTGAAGGAAACACTCATCTTTTGATAGAGACCATGCTTCTTGAGGATTGTCACAAGTGGCTCAGCAAGCCACTCGCCTTTGTGATACCAGGCTATCAACTTTATTCCCAAGTGACGAACTACATACTTCCAGTTTTCATCAATGTATGTGACTGAAAACCCCAAGAAGGCATACCGATTCCCTTTCGTAGTCCAGCTATCATGTATCAAGGTGAACTTGCTGCCAAGATTCTACGAGTTCACTTGAGAATCAGCTGCAAGCAATTTGGACAAGAATAACTAAATAAGAGCAGGAGAATACCTTCAATTCAGTGATGACCGCATTACTCAGCGATAGATATATTCGATGCCCTTGCTTTGCAGCCCACGTGCTTCCATATAATTTAGCTTTGTCGTTGGCATAGGTGAAGGCAGCACGTAGATAAGGATTTTCAATGCGCTCCCAAGGCTGGGCTTGTCGTACCATCCACACACTGACGATCTGATTCAACATCGTGTTGTCAAACGGATGTTTCTCAGAAATGACTGGTATATTTTCTGGATCGGTTTCATGATCAATCTTCCGTTGCTCGAAAGCTGTGATTGGTAACTGAGAACCTTGAGCTATAGCTTTTTCACGCATCTTGCATGCTTTTCCTGACTTGCAACCTTGAAATGAGCCATCACGGTGGTTCAAGAGGTTTCTATTTGTCCCGTCTCCACCACGGTAGGTCTTGCCGCAATACTTGCACGGGAATGATAGAAAAGGACCTTCTGGTGGCTATTTGGGTCATTCATGCAACAAAAATGAGCCGATGAACACTAAGAGTCACATGATAACTGCTGAAAGGTACTCACATCTTGGTCTCCTTGGATAGGCGCATCAAAGTAGTCCAGTATGGGCTCAAAAGATGCTTTTGGCTTCGGATCTTTTACTTTGCTGTTTTCAGTATCCGAGTTCTGACCGAGGTTAATTTCGAGACGCGGTCCAGTTGATTCAGGATTCTGCATACAATTTTTTGTCAAACAATTATGTGTTAGTCACTTCAGGTTTCCATCAAAAGTTACCCACAGCGACTTACCACGGTGGATGGTTGAGATACAACAGCTGTTTTGCGTGTCCTCTTCTTGGATTTTTGACTTGATGTGGTGTTCACGTCTTCCCCAGCAGATGAAGCAACCGATCTTGATCGACGTTGTTTTCGATTTGTTGCAGGAAAGCTGGGATTGTGATTACCAAGTGGGGTGGAGGCAGAGGCGTCAGGAGTGATGATCGATTGGAACCTGTGGCCAGCTGTTGACCGAGAGGTCCGGCGAGGGGTGGCAGGAGTCTGTGGTTCTACTTCTTCTTCATGAACACTCATCTTGATGATGATAAGTTCAAAGGTAAAGGCTGTTGACCATGAAGTGCGTGGACAAACAGTTTTGAGTGGTACAATATGGGTACAGTATCGATAATTCAATACTTTGAAATTCGATACTATTTCAGTACCATTGAGTCCGACACCAGTATCACATAGTACAGTACCGTCAAAAAGGTACTGTACCGGTACTCTTGGGTACTAGTACAGTATTGTGGGGGCGTTGGTAAGGTCCCAAATCCATCATATCCACCTTCTTCTAATGTGAATTCATCAATTTGTTACAAACTGATGAAAACAATTGGTTACTCAAGTTCTACTTGCAGACAAATGTCTTCAATATGGAGCTTATATAATAATCACAGATTATTATTATAGAGAGCTCTAACAATTTGCTTCAAAGGGTTCATGTGGCGCCACTAACTCACAATTTACGTCAGTTTCTTTAATATAAGTTTCAAGTTTCACAATTCCAAAAAGTTTGGGATTACATTCATAAGATTCAAAACAAAACTAAACTTCAAACAAAATTTGTAAGTACCAATTTCCATAGAAAATTATTGTGGATTACAAATCACATCGATAACTGGTTTAGATATTCAACCAAAGAGCTAAAAGACCATACTATACTTTGGAGCCATAAGTTTCCAATTAATTTGAAAATCAATCACATGTTTAAATTTATAGATAACATGTTTATCTTTATATCAAAATACCTCAACCTAAAAAGACAATATAGAAGTTTGATTTCAATAGACAAAAAAAGATAGCTATAGCTGGTCTAGCTTGATAAGACCTCATAATGTTACTAAATGTTTTGTATTTGATAATTTTGAATAAACATTTCATTCAATCACCTTTAAGTGTGTTTGAAATATCCAAAGTAACACAAATAGAATACCAAAAGATTTGAATTATCTATCAGAAACATTGTGAATATACCTGAAGAAGTCAGTAAGATGTGGTGATTATAAGTAACCGCTACCTCTAAAAAAACCTTGACAAACGTCTTCAGTGAACAACTCCATACATGCAATGAATAACGCAGCTTTCTCATCATCTGCACTCAGGGCCTGTTGCATAACCTGAGAACGTCTAAGTCTGGATTTTAGAACCGAAAAGCCTTTCTCGATCGGATTGAAATCAGGGTTGTAGGGGGGAGATAAATCAACCTCACACATTGGGCAGCGCAGAGTTCTTCTACTCTGCCACCATGGTGGATGGGGGTGTTGGCCATGATCAGAGCACTGTTCCAAGCAGGGAATGGGTTCATGGCTGGGAGCTATTACAGATACATACGAGTCAGTTACTGTGAAGACATAAACAAGCACCAATTAAATTAAACCCAAAAAAGACTTACCAAGTCTTTTTCCAAAAAGGACTCAAAGTCGAGCCTGGAGTACCCGCCCGGTTGGATAGACACAGCTACCACATCATCCATGGAAATCACAGGCGAGGCTGACCATTGGAAAGCCTGAGTTGGCCTCTGGAGGCGGGTTGACCCTTGACCAATAGGAGCGCGCGCGTGAGTCCAATACAATCTTCTTTTCAATATTGCCGTTTCATCTGCCAAAATCAAATCGTCACTGTTAGTCAAAGGTGGGATGAATGAAGGTCATACCATACTGACTTACCAACAAAAACTAGACAGCAAGGATCAGTTTGTGATATCTCCTCTATATAGGCACCACGGGCAATCACGGACTGGTTGGGATGGACAGTGCGGGACTTTTTATGAGTCCAACACAGACAAGAACACAATTTGGTTGAGAGAGTTTTCAAGGAGATGGTTCTCCCAAAAGTATCTTGAATCTTGGCCTTGAGTTTGTCAAGATAAAGGGTTGGATCCACTTTGAGTGCTTGCAATACAAATTGCTTCTCAGGCTCTCCTAGAGCGGATGGCGCGCCGGCTTGCATATGGTCCCAAGGATTGGTGACCACCGCGCGGGTCATTTGATAAATTTCAAACCAACAAGCAGCTTGATGTCTGTGCTGTAAAGATTTTTGGGCATCTTGAATATTAAATAGAGAATATGATCAAATTAGGTTAAATTGAAGAGAAACTGTGATTTGTATTGAAACCGAGATTGTTCTGAGCTGATATAAAAAAAACGAAATTTGGATTGAGAGCAAGACAGACAGAAAGGGGAATCAAGATTGGAACAAAAACAAGAAAGTGGAAAATGAGCAAGCGTAAAATGAGCAGTCGAGGAGTGGTACGTGAGGGAAAGACAACCAACAGAATGGGGCGAGAAACCCTTTGTACATATCCCTGTATACGTAGAAAGGCTTTCTTGGTCTTGAAACTGTAGATATGATTGTTGTGAGATCCGTCAACTCGGAGAAATGTCATTAGATGTCCATTGAATGACATCTATCTCACAGTACCCATTGTCAAAAACGGGGTTTTTTAGTTTTTACCAGATTTGGGTTAAATCCCGACACAACACATTTGCAAGAAAAGTTACCAATGATTCTCACAACAGCTGTACAAGTATTGAAAGACCGCAAGATGTTAGAATTCTGACTTTGGTCTTGCGTCATAATTCAATCATGAAGGCACTGTGCCTTATTGTGCCAAAGTGAGGGGCCTGCCCGTTGCGCCGGCGGTAAGACGGCTCAAGTACCGTGGGACGTAAGGTACGGTGGAGAGCTGCCATGACTCATGTCAGGATGGGGGCGCAGCCTTAAAAAAAGGCGCGCCCTGGTGTGTTCTTGTGAAAAGGGTGCGTCTAGGCGTCACTGGCGCATTAGGCGCGGCCTTCCACCGCGCAAAAATGAAAAAACATGAAAAAATGCGAAAAAATCCAGGAAATGCATTTTAACCAACCTTAAATACATATTTGTTGCTGATAAGGTGGAAGATAGATTGTTTGAAGGTCTAATGTTAATTGAAGTTGATTCATAAAACAACTTGAAATGGATTTTATAAGAAAATAAACACGTGGAAAGCCCCACTTTCTGACTATGAGGCATACAGGCCTTTGGGCGCGCCCACCTTGTTTCCGAGATGTTTTGGCGCGCGCCTGGGCGCGTTATTATTTTTGCGCCCCCATCCTGTGACTCATGAGCCTGCGGTCAGTGCCCTGCCCTCGGTGTCTTTGTCATGTTTGAGACACATGTTTGTGCTCCACGACCCCTGCACGCATTTGCACAGCTCGGCTATCGATTATCCCCGCGCCTCCTTCCTGATCAAAGTCAGAGTCTCACATCTCACCTTGTCTCCACCAGTTTGGCGCCCACTCAAGCAAGCAGGCAAGCAGGCCATCAAGCATGCAAGCTAAACCAGCTCTCCGACTTGCTCGGATTGCTTCGCACCTCAACACGCCGGCAGTAGTTAGAGACAATTCGGCGACAAATACCAGCAGTCGAGGACTTTCGAAAGAGATGCCGAACGATCAATCATCTCTAACTACTGCGGCCCCCGCTTCGATAGCCAAAAACCCCGATGACGTATGGAAGCGTGCCGAAACATACCGCTATTGGATACCGATCCAAACTAGATGGTCGGTTCGTTGACACAATCTTCCCAATTCTCGTCCTATCTGCACCCCTCCTACATGTATTCTTCCCAGCTGACTTGATTATCTTTCTGCACATGTTATGCTTGCAGGATAATGATCAATATGGACACATGAACAAGTCAGTCTTTCTAAAAAGGATGTGACAAGCAGATCTTGGTTTGAATAAGAGATTTTGATGTGATGATGCTTGATGGAATGTCGGACTTGGAAACAATGCTTCCATCTCTCTCCGATTAAAGCGCGTACTACTATCATCTCTTTGACACGACGGTCAACAAATTCCTTATTGATAAGTGTGCAGACGATCGTGGAGTGTCACCGATGGCTTTTGTGGTATCTTCAAGTTGCACTTATCTTGCACCGGTCGGGTTCCCTACTACATTATTAGTCGGACTCGCAACACAACACGTGGGGAAATCGAGCGTGCATTGGCGACTCGCCCTTTGGCCTGCCCGTTCAGCAGCTAGGCAACCCGGATCTACCGAAGCAAATGGAAACGTGACACTCGCTTTGGAGCGTAATGAAGAAGCTGGCTGTGCCGCCTTTGGTTCTTTTGTCCATGTTTTCGTCGACTCGGAATCCCGATCAAGGGTCGAGATGAGTCCAACAGTTCGGAAAGCTACCACAGGTCTCTTATCGGATCCCCATATAGCCTCTTCCTGAAGATCGGGAGCCATTCACAAATAGCTTTAGGTAGATTCATCCAGCAATCAACTAGTTCCGATCTTACGAGTTGTATTTTCGCACGTTCGCACATGGCCGGCAATTCCTTAAAAGCTCTCATTTTGTTTGTAGGTGACTAAGTTGACACGCCTTGATTGTAAGAAATTCAACATCCCTTTGAATCTTTTCTCGATTCATGTGGGATGCTTTGGCTAGCTCTTCTTGGCTAGATTCATGCCGGAGTGACAGCTAGACAAAAGATGTTAGATTTCCAGACTCTGAGTCTCTGGACACTGTTTTTTAGCATACGTGGACTCTGCAAATCATGGATGCAAAGAAACCGTGTCGCACGTCTGTACGGCCGAGAAATGAGAAGTCACGCACTGTGACATGGGCCTGATGGCGCAATGGTAGCGCGTCCGACTCCAGTTCTGGATTTCCATCGGAAGGCTGCGTGTTCAAATCACGTTCGGGTCACAGATTTTTGCCGTTTCTTTTGGGTACGGTGAGACATCTGTCAAAACGCTAGGCAGTTGAGGGCTGACATGAAAGCTGCTGCATTGAGTTAATTTGGTTTTTTCAATGTGTTGAGTGACATATATTTGCCAATTGTGTATGGTAATGCAATGGATCATAGCAGCGACGGTCTGCAATGGGTATGGTTGGTGAACTGTATGAAGGTCAAATTGACTTGACATTCATGGGTAACAAATGTTCACTGACTGCAACAAGGGATTTGATGTGACTGATTATCAAAAACATTGGGTCTGACAGATTATGATAAGCTTAATCTGGGTGGATGCAATGATCCATTACATTGTCCATTTTGGGACCGTTAAGTGCCAACCCTTGTTGTGTGGTATGTGTGTGCATCAGGTTACACACAGATATTTCCAATTCTTTGGATATCAACCATCTGTCCATTTGAAAGGTTGAAAATAGGTATGGGTGCCTCTGTGCACAACTAGAGCCAAGATGGGCAACCCTTCTGTCTCCATTCTCAGTAGAGTGTGACACAACAGGTCCTTAAGATGACTATAATTCTATGCACTCATATTTTGGTGCTAATCAGATTTATGGGCATGATCTAATTAGACTTGTCAAGACAACCTAGACTTATATATGATGTGGTGGTACACAATGTCAGAGAGCACACATACACCAACTGAAGGTCTTGATACTGGCAAGAAATTCTAGCTTAAGAGGTAAGGAGTTTCAGGTTCCAATACTACTCAGGTCTTACCCCTCAGCTCCACTAATTCCCCCTGGGATTTTGAGCCAAGTTGGGCCTTGTAAGGACTTCAAATCTCCTCACTGGAAAGGAAGGAAGGAGAAGGGCTGTGAAGTTATTAAATAAATTTTAAGGCACAAGTTGGAAAATCAACACCTCAGAAGTGGTGGAAAGGTTTCCAGAACCAAAGTACACATTCTAATTACAAACTGACTCCAAAAGAGACAATGACAAAGATCAGTCAAGGATCCTTCAAGAGAGAAAAGGATATAAATGTAGATGTGACTATAGACATACCTGACTTCAAAAGAGATGATGACAAAGATCAGTCAAAGATCCTTAAGGAGTCAGAGCATGGTAGTGTTGTGGAAGGAAGTACTTGGATGGCTATGTCTTAAGTCCTAAGGTTTCTAAGTATGATTTAATGGACTTCTTGTAATGTAGCTTGTTGAGGGACATTACAGGCCTCCTGGGTTCTTTCAACACAAGGTGAGGATGATTGACATTCTGGATCAATTGGGAAATCTGGGTGTGATCCAATGACTGATCACCAATTGAGCCATACAAACATGTGTTGAATTTCTTCTAATAGCATGCTCTTAACTGACATGAAATGTGCTCCTATTATCAAAAATAATTCCAATACAAGATTTGGTTTGAGTTTTTTTGGGGGCGGGCAGTTCAAGAAGTGCACCACAATCAAATTTGAGGTTCAGAATTTGTGTCAGCCCTGAGTACATATACATGTACCCAAAAGATAACTTGTAACATATAAATAACATATATTATACCCAGTTACATATACCTAAAGCCTAAGACCAGTATATGACATGTAACAAAACACGTAAAAATAATAATTACTGATACATGTAATATAAAATCAATATGTAGTAGGGGGTTTCGAGTTGCGGATTTTTACGTATTTTTATGCCACAACATGCCTGTTGTTGTAAAACATGCATAAAATTTTTAAAGCAGGACACCTAAAAAGGTGTCCCAAATTGAAAATACATTGATTTTACAAAGATTTTTTTATGAACAACTTGTCCAAATTTATAAAAATTACGTAAAAATTCATCAAACTTGAAACCACCTAGTAAGGGGGCTCAAGTCAAAAATTTTGTGGCCTTTTCTTGAAAAATCGGGGAAAGTTTTTTACAGTACTGTGCTGTAAAAATTTTTCCCAATTTGTAAAAACGGAACGTAAAAATTTCTTTTGGATCTCCTTCTGAGCAGCAAATTTATGCAAATTTGCGTAAATTTACTGCTCAAAAAAGTTTTTTACAATAAAAGTAGTAAAATTTTTTGACTTGAGCCCCCCTAATATATAATAAAACACTAATTACACCTCATAAATCAGTGTCAAGAGTCAATATGCTTATGCTACATAACATATACATAATATACCCAAATGTAATTGAGTGTAACTAAGAGTAATAATGTCTTTATCACTACAATTGAATTTCAAGAGGATAGTATATAAAACCCCCTCTTGCAACCTTCAAGCACACCCACCAAGCAATTGATTACACACTCCTTTTAAAGGAAAATCAAAGTTCTATTGAGGTATAGGTGGTGATTCTTGTGAGGGGACACTTACACCCAACCAGGCTGTACCACCTTAGGAGCTATCCATCAAAACAGTTTACTGATCTTGTGGAAGAGATGTGCTATCCCATAGCGGTAGGTCTTGCTTGAGTAGCTTGGGGTTGTCTAGCAGGGTGGGATCAGGAGGACTGAGTATCAATAGAATAGCTCTTCCTAACCTAAGCTGCACACTGCCCTGGACTACAAATAGATTACTAAAAACAACAAACAACCAACCACTAGTGAGCATAGAGTACCCCTAAAGAGTACCCTACCCTTAAAATTTGGGCTTTCAACTTGATTGTGGTCAGGGTACATATCACTTGTAGTTGGCCCACAGTATTAACAAAGTAGAATGTGTGGAATGGCAAATGTTGCACTTGTCAAAAGGTGAAGCCGTTAAAAACTACTATGGAAGTAAGTGCAACTAGAAGGCATACCAAAAGGACATCTCAAAGAAGTCTAGCCAAGCCACTGCTAATATTTTTCTTGTATGTTCTGTCTCTCTTCTGATTGTAGTTGTTCCCACTTGTTAAAATTTACTTCATCCAAAAAATTGTATCAAGAAAAATCAAAAAAACAAATTTTTGTTTATAAAACATTACAAAATCTAAGTTATACTAGGGCCCCAGTGGCTGGTACTGCACTCATGATCCATTGATATTGGATCAGTAGATCCATTCTCTCTCTGAAGGTAGCACTTTTGCTCCTTGTGAGATCAGGAAAAGGGACCAGAAGCAAGAAAATTGGCAGGATGAGAGACATTTCCCAAATATGTCTTTCATGACAAGATTATTCTTGATTAACTCTAAAGTTGTTTAGGGCCCGTTTGGCTGGATTTCCAAAAATTCATTACACAAAAACAAAATTTCAATCTGCCCCTTCTTCAAGGGGCAGATAGAGAAACTCGAATTTCAGCTTTTTTGATTACCAAGCAGTTGACCAAAAAGGTCAACAAAAGATCATCTTGATCATCGTTGACCATTGATCACCATTTGACTGTTTGGTAAAGATGAAATAAAAAGACTTTTTCAATTGAAACTTGAAAATCAACCAATCCATTTTTAATTCCATCCATCCATCCATCACGGTCATTGATGACCCAAATCATTGCTCCATCAATGTTCTGTTTGTTGACACTTCACATCATGTGGTTTGATCATCATGGAGCATTCCTTGTGCTTCAATTCAATCTCTAGCAATTTCGATTTTTTGTAACTTTAGGACAGGTGTTATGTAGAGAGAGAGAGATGAACAATGGGGAAGAAGGCTGAGCAAATGTGAGGGTGTGAACAAAATAAAAGGGCATGGTTAGAGAGAGAGGGTGAGAGAGAGATTGAAGTTGATTTATTGGTTGAGGCGAGGGGCAAAAAGAGTTTTTGGACTGAAAAACAGCCTTGATGCTGTTTTTCAAAATCAATGGATTTTTGATCAAATACACTTTTTGTTTTTGGTCAAATAAAGTTGCCAAACGCCGGTGTTTTTGACCAAAATCAAAAAGTGTATTTGACCAAAAAGAGTTTTTGGCTTTGGTGAGGTTTTTGGTTTCCAGCTGAATGGGCCCTTATTCTATCAAGTACATTTGAAACCAGTTTCTAGTGCCGAATTTGTATGCAAGAGAGGTGAAGTAGTGATAGCAGAATATTTGGTGGTTAAAATTGTAGGTGGGCAGAAAGGGCTGAAAATTAGACACAAGACAGGTGTATGTATTAAAAACAAGACCACTTTAATTAAACAAGAACTGCCTTTGATGAGCAGTGATATACATACTTGTGCAAATAATGCAAAACAAAAATCATAATGTGATTGGAGTCAAAGCAGACCAAAAGCATAAAAAGAAGCACTGAAAAGCACTGAGCCCCAGTTTTTGCCATGACCACAGGAATAAAAGCATTTTACCAAAGACCAAAAGCATTGGCACCTATTGTAGTCCAGATTCAAGTTTTATGATAAATCATACCTACAATCTTCAGTAGTCTCTTTGAAATTGTCTATAGTTTATAAATTCTCATCAAAATCATAGTTTTTTTCTTTTGTCCCACCCTCCACCCTTTTGTCAAACAGAGGGTTAAGTTTCATGTGGTGCCAGCCTGTAGTAATGTTCCAGCTGTTATATTTCTACTACAATGCAGAGGGGAGCACTCCAGTGGAGGAGCGCAGCGCCATTTGTTGCTGCCCTCAG